TCCGTGCTTTTCGCCTTCTTAGTTCTGCCCATTCCGCCTTAAATGCTCACTTTGTCAATTTGCTTGGCATTCTGCTTTAGTTTTGCAGCGCTTCTCATAAATTAAATTGTTTGTCGCAGGACAACATTGACAGCCCTGAATGCTGACAAGTTTTTGCCCGTCGATTTATGTGTGGGCGTGGCCGAAGTTTCAACTCAATTCGATGCATCAAAGTCAATGGGGAATAAATAAAAAGTTTGCCGATACTGAACAATAACAGAGCATATTTTAGATAGTCAGAAAGTCTTCATTGAATTTTTAGAAAAATTAACAAATTTATTTTGCAAATAGAAATTATCTCAATGAACCTAATTGGTTATACTATACAAAGTGTACGCATCGTGGTTCTGTGTGAAATAAGAACTTCTCTACGGCATTAGGTTCCCTTTTCTATCTAAAGATAGGATTACGTTTTAATTTAACAAAATATTTTACAAAAATATGTTATCCTCTTTTTGGTCTCCTCAAATATAAAGTATACGCCTCAATGGCCTAACTAGAACATTTACGCACTGTATAAACATTTGTATATATTGGTTATATTTGTATATAATAAATAAAAACACAATTAAAACTTAATTTAAATTTCAACTAAATTAAATAACACCATTATTTAATTTGAAATCTGATATTGATGTTTACAAAATATCAAGCATACGCATCGTTGCCCTAACTAGAAAATTACCACACTTTCTACAGTTTGCGGTTAAATCTGCATAGATAGGAATCTCTGGGAGACAACTCCCAAAAAATACTGTGGAAATTTGTTAATTTAAATTCCATACATTAACTCGGCGACAAATATACATATTAATAATATTTGCACACGCCAAAAAGCAGAAGGCAGAAATAAAAAAAAGTCCGCCGTAAGAAAAGTGAAATGATATCGTTTGCTGGTCATTATGCATTCTGATGGCTATCGCCAGCTACGCTTCTGGCCAGCTCTGGTCAGTTCACTTGCTCCGAAATTATGCTAATTTTATGTGTCAATTATCTGCCAATAAGCACGAGGGGAAGGGGACGCGGGATGGGAGGCCGAATTACTTTTTGGGTTATTCGGCCAAATGGGGACGAACCCTGAAGTGGCCGCTGCTCATGTGTAAACATGATTTGTGCCAGTCAAGTGGTTAAGTTCTTTCGTTTTTCTGGGTCTCTTGCCCGGAATTTGCATATTTTGTTTGCTTTATGCAAATGATTTGGAATCTCCTCGACGAAAAATAAAACCAGGAACTTACAATAGACGCCAGCCAATTAAGTAAGACCATAAAATGCATTTTTTATTTATTTAAAGACATTGACCCAGTATCGAATTGTGTGATATCATAGCTGAGACAGACTATAATTAGCCACAAGCCGGAGAAATCAATCAACCCGATCACAATGGAATTTCGCACATTTCGCACAAAGAGGCTTTCTCTGCCAAAAGGCAAAATCATAATTTCAATGGGTCCTGATGCAATTTCAATTAGAATGAAACGAAGCGTAAGCAAGGCAAATAAACAAACAAAAAGCACAAAACTAGCAGACAAGTAAGCAAACAAAGTAAGCAATTGCCCAGCGCAAACAGAAAAAGTAAGACAAATACACAAAACGCTCGAATTAGGCAACAATTCAGCTTCAACTTGAACTCCAGTGGCGAGGCACGCGATTCTCTCAATGATGTAATCGATTAGATGAAGCCATTATCATCAAACACACGCAAACAAGTCTACAAATGTATCTTTTGGTATCGGTCCGAGTATCTGTGTGCGAGCACTTTGTTAATGGGCGAAAGTCGAGAGATCGCCGAGCAAAGATTGAAAGAAACTTCTGGTCATGTAATTCCCATGTCGGTTCACTCAGCCGGTAATTCTTGCCTCATGAATCAGCACTTCTCCGGGCAAAAAAATAAGAAGAGAAATCCGAATAAAGGAAATCCGAATGGAAGGACACAAAGAGTCTTATTTAAAAACATACAGTCCCGTCTGGTCCGTGCTACATCCGGCGTCCCTCAAGGAAGTCATCTTGGCCCGTTATTATTTACGCTTTTTATAAACGACTTGCCCCCTGCTTTAACGAACTCTCTAGTTCTTATGTATGCAGATGATGTAAAGCTTTGTCTTCAGTATAAATCCATCTCTGCCCAATGCAGTCTTCAGTCTGACCTTGATAACTTTCAAAAATGGTGTTTGGCTAATGATCTAATACTTAATGGATCAAAATGCAAGCATATGTCTTTTTATCGTTCTTGCCCTCTGCAAGCTACGTATTCCATTAATGGGATTGCCTTAGAAAAATTAACCCAGGTTAATGATCTCGGCATCCTATTAGACATAAAACTTAAATTTGCCGACCATATTTCCTTAATGGTTAATAAGGCTAAAGGAGTCCTTGGTTTTATTAAAAGGTGGTCAAAAGAATTTAATGACCCCTATATAACCAAAACTTTATTCATTTCTTTGGTCCGACCGATACTAGAGTACGGTTCATGTGTCTGGAGTCCCCAATATGGAGTACATAAGGACCGCATAGAATCCGTACAAAAGAACTTTTAATATTTGCACTCAGAGGCCTATACTGGGATGCAAATCTTCAGCTTCCATCCTACAGTAGCAGACTTTTACTTATTAACTTACCTAGCTTAACAAATCGTAGGACAATGCTCGGTGTAGTTTTTCTGCATAACCTTATCAACGGGGATGTAGATAGCCAGCATTTACTAACACGCTTAAATTTCAACATTCCTAATAGAAGGACTCGAAACTTTAGTCCTCTGTTCCTTAGCCGTTGTAGTTCGACATATGCACTGCATGACCCTTTTAGGGTATTATGTTCGAACTACAATGGTCTCTACTCTATTACATCTCTTTCCTGTCCCTCTAATTTAAAATATAGAATTTTAAATTTCCTTACTAACTCCTCTTAGCTTAATAATTAACAAATAACTTAATATACTCTAACAAATCGTTTCTTGAGCGCCCCTCGGTCGTCTGGGCCTCTAAGCTTTATGATGAATACAGGAATGCTAGCTGATGCTCTTATTGATGCACAAGCCATTTCCAAATTCTGAAAGACCAAAAAAAAAAAAAAAAAAAAAAAAAAAAGGCAAGCCCAATAAAAAGTGTTATAGTTAAATCTGTTTTGTGGTTCAGCCAAGTGCTTGGAGTGCGCAGTAGACAAGCCACTCCGCCGGCTATTTACAGGGCAACAGCTCGGGGGCATAGAGATAGAGCTTATGCAACAGCCAGGCGAATTACCATAAAATTTACATAAAAGCTTCCGTGTAAAATTTATTTAAAACAAATAAAAAACTACATCAACAGCCCAACAGTCAACAAAATGCACAAAATCCTGTGCACACTACATCTTTCGTTGGGCGGAAGCCGAGACAACCTCTCTTGTCAGCCTGTGCCATAAACATAAACATAAACTGCCGGTTCAGTTCGTTCCCGATCCGGCCAGCAGACAACAATTGGCAACAGGTGTAGACGGGGCCAAGACAAACCTTTGGTCAGGCCCTGGCCTCCGTCTCAGTTCTTGAGCCCTTATCTCAAACAGTGGAGATTCGCTAATAAACAATAAATTTGTTTATTTCAATGAAGGACTAAATTTTCATTCGAGAAGGTTCTATGAATGAGTAATTAACATCTTACATACCACATGAATTCTTACAAAGAAAAACTTTAAACTATAGAAGATTGACTGTAGTGACAATGATTTGACAGCACAAAGGATACAACTGCTGGAAGGGACAAGTGTGAAGTCAAGACCGGGACACGTGGCCCTCTATTCCAAACAGGTCTTAACTTGGCTTTGACAATTTAGGTTGCCCGGAGAAGTCGGAAACGCTTTTGGTTCTGGTACTGCTACTTGGTCCCCGTTGCCCAGTTGTGTTTCAAACAACATCCCGTACCGTATCCCATCCCATCCCATCCCAGCCCGTCCTGTCCTATCCTAACCTAAACTAAGCGCTCCTTGTGTCCGAGAGTTGTTGCTCAAGCCGTTGGCTTTTGTCTGTCAATTTTTGTGTTATTGTGCTACGGTTGTGAGGTGAGGTTGCTACGTGCAGGGTCCCCCTAGTCCTTGTCCTTTTCCTTTTCCGAAGCCTCTCAAGGCCTGTCATTGTGCAAATTTACAGTTTTTCGCCGGTCAAACCGAGTTGAGTCGCTTCGTTTGGGGAAATCTACGAGATTGTGTGGCATCAAATGCGACACTAAAAAGACAAACACATTTTGTATTGAGCCCCGAAATTGCCCTTGGGAGCCAGAGTCAAAATTAGCCGAATGAAAAGGTTGAGAGGCGGCCAGAATGTAGCCAGAATCTGAAAATGGCCAGTTACTATGTGTGGCCGAAATAAAGCGAGAAGGAAATTAAGTAATTATGCACTTGACTGGCTGTTTTTACAGCCAGCTAGGGTCCAGAGTTCTGGGCAGAAGAGTCATTCTATTTAAGCCGGGCCCATTGCACTGAAAAATGGATTTAGTCTGCAGGAATAAATAATTATAAAGCTATTGCCCTCTACATTCTAAAATAGACCATTAGTGAAAACCTACATGTAGAAACTGTTTACTTTTAAAAAATTACAATTAATTACCAAATAATCAAATTAAAACTAAAACTATCTTAAACTAGCTAGATATGATCTATATTAAATTGGTACTTATTCATCAACTATTTAATGATTTCTAAGAAAGTAAATAAGGTTTTGGTAGTGAATGGATTTTGCAATTTTAATTACTGATATTTTGCTGGCAGTGTGATAAGCCAACTCACACATTTTGCCAGTTCCCATAGCGGCTGCATTTGGAGTACAAGTCCCTGGCCTGGCCTTATGCAGATACCAATACCAATTTCAGTGGGAGCCCCCAAAAAGGGACTGGTACACGAGCGGCAAGCTGCCATTGACGGAACGAATATTGGCCCATTGGCATCATGTTCGATTTTGCAGACACAGCGACGTTTTGTCTTTAACTAAATTATAGCTACTGCACGGACCTGGATCGGAAGTGCAGGAGGTGGAACACCAACAGAAGCTGAAGCTACAGCCGGAGCTGGATGGGGATGAGGATGAGGATGAGGATGAGAATGAGGAAGCGGAAGTCGAGGACAAAAAGGCCAAAATGGCTATGGCCAGCTGGCTGAAATGTGCCAAAAACTCTCACGATGAACGGATCCGGAATGCCTGCAACTGACGTGATATCTCCCAACCTCAAGTTTTTGAGCCGGACCCGGGACTTTGGCTCCGCCCGGCAGTCAATAGTCAACTAAACTGCATCAAACTGCCTGCCAAGTCCGTCTGCCCCTCTCTGTTGGCTTTTTTGCTCCCGTTTCTGCTCCTATTCCTGCTCCAGCTCAATGCCAAGCTACTGTCCCCGCATCTGTATCTGTCCCCATTGCAGCTTTAGAACGATATCGATATAAGGCATTACCTGCTAAACTGTTTGGCAGCATCGCACAGGTAAAAATGAGGAGAGCAGGGCAACGGAGGCAGCATGTCAAACAGTTTTGCAATTGTTTCGAAATTGTCTCTCGTGCAAATGCAATTTTCTTCAATTTCATTTGGGCGGAGGCGGAGGACACTGGAGGACAGTCAGTGCCAATGCCAGTTGGCAGTTGGCCTGGGTCAGAATTTTACCTTATCCGCATGGATACACTGTCGATTCTTAAAATAAGGAACCTTAAATTTATGAAAGTTAAAACAAATATATAAGCTTAAATATTCAATACCTTAACTTTTCATAAACGCAAAAGAAGTGTTTTGAATCAATGAGTACTTTCTCTACAAGTAGAGATGAAAGTTTTTTCTTGTGCACATCTGGAAGAAGAGTTTAATCTATTACATAAAACAAATTGCAGATTTTCTCTTGTTTTTGCCTCAGAATGACATTTAAGTTACTTGATTCTGCCATTTGTTTGTTTGTTACTTTTTGCGTTTGGCAAACCAGTTGAGGGGCAAGAAGGCCCAGGTGGTAATAGAGATATTGGCAGACGGCCGATAAGCTTGATTTCTGTTCTGTCACAGCTCGATTTCGATTTATGTCCACTGACATGAGTCACCGCAAAAATGGATCGCCTGGGACCCGAGAGCACACAGATTAAACAAAGATTTCGTTTGTGCTCAGCTTCTAATTTCCGGCATGATGAATATAAATAAAAGTTATGCCAGGGAAATCGTCTCGACCTTTTGGCAGAAATATATTTTCAGATATTTGAATAAAATACATGAATAAATTCCCCTTTGGCACCTTCCAATCCCGCTCAAGTGCGTCCTCAAATTTAATATCGTTGTCATCAAAAATGCACTCCATCAGCCGCACAATTACGGACTCAAAATGCAACAATTTTATTACACAAAGCTTATGGTCAGACTAACAAATATATCAAAGCTAAAAGCCTGGAACATTCGCAAAAATGCCAGAAAAACACCAGAGGCAGGGAGTAGGAGACGGGGACTGGAAGCTCATCCCACAATCCCCCATGATGATCCCTGTGAGCTCCCAATGAACAATGGCCCAATGTTGACATAATAAAACGCACATAACTAGCGCACAAACATGAGGAGAGGGCAGAGGACGACACAAGGCCGCAGATGCCACAAATTCCGATTTTCCACAAACCCAAACACACAGAAACACCCCTATATGGTCAGTAAAAAATGTTATTAAAAAATATATCCCATAAAGAGTGAGCCAAAAAAAGAGAAAAAGTTGTTCAACGACGAGGGGCAAAGGCTGGTCCGGCAAAGTTGGAAATCATATAAAAGAGAAATCAATGCAAAACTATGGGATTTAAAAGCGCTTTAAATCGCCCAAGAATATGCAAGGCCATGGGTCATAAAATTGCGGTTTCATTACACAAAAACCCCCAACCATGACATGAGTGCCAGAGAAGGACTACGAACGAACTATGATATTAAATCTACATTGAAATAGGGTGACCGCAAATAAAATGACACTAACTAGGGTAACTCGTTGAAAAAGACAGCCAAAATAACTGAATATAGAAGGCACTCAATTCATCCTATGCCAGAGTAATTCAAAGTTAACGATGTGTAAATACTTAAAGGACTTAAGATGCAAAACCCAGCCAGATCCAGCCGGGCAACCGAAAACCGCAATTATGACAACAGAAGTGGATTGGATTTTGGGGTACAGCATGAAAACCAATTTCTTGTCATGCTCCCAGGTTTCTATCTCTGCATTTGTGGCCAAAAGCTATGATTTGTCCTTGGTTCCAGAAATGGTAACAAAATTGCAGCCTCGTTTGTTGCACAAATGAGCCACATTGTAACCACAGAGATGCCAAAGATGGCAGGCAAATTGGCCAAAGGGAACCTGGAGAAACGAGGCAACTAGTAGACCACATGGACACAATTACCGACAACGACAACAATTACCCGACGGCAATTTACCGGCATTAACACCCATCGCACACAGGCTTTTATAACTTCTTCAGTGCAGAAAACTGCAGAAAAAAACAGAGGACCTGGCCATTCCAGGGGAATAAAGCCGTACCTTTGCCACCGGCTGCATAAATTTATTATGACCGCGATGAGATTGCAGCGACAGCCCGACAAATACGACCTTGAAAGGCACCTGAATCTTGTCTACGTGATGACTTGGGGCCATCGTTGCATTGTTATTCCTGCAGAATCTCGACTCTGGTCCAAGCCCAGGTCCAGGTCCAGCTCGGGCTCGAGCTCCATCATCATCATTAAAGCTTGGCCAATAAATTAGCAGAGACCAAAGCGATTTGCTATGGTTTTTATTGTCCGGTAAGCGTCAGGTGTGGATGGCTAAAATTGAATTAAATGCCAATGCTTTGAGGAATAAAAATGGCTTTTACAGACAAGAAAAATTGTGGTTTATAATTGATGTTTGAAAATTAAAAACAAATTTTAATACTATTATAATAAAATTGAATTATTTATTTTGTGTTATAATTAAAACAAACTCTATTTATTTGAAATTTTAAAAAAATTTTTTTTCTGTGCATCTTTTTACGTTACTTAAAGCAACAGCTTAAACTCAAAAGATCAAAGGGACTAGCAGGAACCCATAATAAACAATACAAGAAGATATACATCCAAGGGGGCGTTTTTGAGCCTAGACTCGGGCACCACGCCTCCTCCATTGCAAGGCGCGTGATTTAATGAGTTCGCAGACACTGATTTATGCCTAATGACTGGGCCTAAATTGTTCTCCGGGAGCTACTCTGGGTTTCCTCCGCCACTGAAATGCCAAAAATACATATGCAAATTAAGCAAGTCAAACAAATGCAAAACTAAATGGCTTGAAATAAAACTTTTTGGCAGATTTAAGCCGCACATTGAGGGCCAGCCGGCAGAAGGCTGGGGCTGGCGGATGAAAGTGGGCCAAAAGAATGAGAATCACATCAGAAGTGAGCAAAACAGATTTGTCACAAAACCACAACAGCCAGTAAATCAGCATAAAAGGCGAATGCAAGTCAAAACATTTCAGAAATTATGACCCCGGCCAAGGGCCCCCACTGAAGCTGTAAAGGGTCGTCTGCCACAAGACCAAGCCGCAAACTGAATGAGCCTGGCACCCAAATGGGGACCAGGAAAGGGGTTTCCAATGGGATTGGGTTTGGGTTCCAGCACGAGGGTCGAAGGGGTTTTACGGGGAGTGGAAGCATGATAATTGCCATTGCTGCTGGTTGAGAGTGGGGGAGGGAACTTTGCCAAGTGAATCGTATATAAAAAGACTAAAGACAACCGAAAATCAAACTCTCTGCGTTTTTACATTTAATTTACTTATAAAAGAAATTAATATTTATTGATTCATTAAAATAAATTAATAGAAACGTTTGTGAATAGCCTCAAAGATTATTTTTATTATTTTATTCAGATAAGGTTACACCATTTATCAATATATGTATGTGTCGATTGCGTTTAATCGGTCATTAATTATATTAATATTAAATGTTCATTAACTTAACTATATAAATTTTTATTTAAAACTGTCTTCATATAAAAATATTTTTAATTGGTTGCCATTATTAATCAATGATATGGAAATGATAAGACTGTGATTCTTGGGCTATAATTTTTTGAATTCTATACTAAATTCTAAAAAATAATATTGTTTGTTGAAACAATTGCTTAAGTTTAATGACCCTGCCAAAGAGTACAGAAAAATAAAGCCAAAATGTACACAAAAGTCACATACTAAAGCCAGCGAGTATCTGTGAAGTAGCTGCTGCAGCAACAGCATCTGAATTTCATAAATGCAATAATTGCTGTTGCACATGAGACTATGTGTATGAGTGTGCATCATGCACAAGAGATGCAAATCAGTCGGACAGCTGGACATGCAGACGAGCCAACTCCGAAAGCATAAATAAGTCGTCTGCTCCTCCTCCGCCTGCTACCCCTGAAACCACGCCAAAAATCTAACGAGTCCGTATCCATTACAGCCAAAAGAGAGGCTCTAACCCGAGGAGGAGGAGGAGGTGGAGGAGGAAAAAAGTGGAGTTGGAAGTTGGTAGATGGTAGCTTGAATCTGAAAGCTGGGAGCCACAAGAGCAGAACACACAGCTTGCCCAGCCCAGCCGACATCGGAGTAGCCCACTGACACTTCCGTTTAGGCTTTGTTTTTTCTTGGTCCTTAGCTCAGTGTTATAACTCATGCCTGCAAAAACAAAGCAATTAAAAGCTTTAACTTAAAGCACAACATCACATCACATTTGTTTTTTGAGCTGAAGCATTCTGCCTCTGTTTCAACATGCAGGCACACACATTTTCTCATGGCTTTATTTATTTATGGTCGGCCAGTTTGATGCTTATTAAATAGTTTTGCATTCGAAATTTATTTCGGTCAAAAATCTCCATTTCTTTGGGCAATAATTTTTGGGTTTTTGCCACAAACCCTCTCACACACTTTACAAGCATTTGACTTTTAAAAGTCGAGTGCGTTTCTATTTCATTGTACGGATATAAATATTGTAGGCATTTCTCTGGCATATTCAGACATTTAATTGAAGCAAATATAGTATCTAAAGCCAAATAAAAGTACAAAAATTTATTTAAGGCATTAAAAGATGGATTTTAAGCGACTTGGGTTTTGTATGAATTCTAAAAATTAAATAGAATAGATAGAATATAAAGTGCTGTGCCAAGTCAAGTATCTCGAGTGTATCCTACGAAATTTCCAGGATCTCCGGGAACTAAGGAGTGGGAGAAGTCTGTGGAAATGACAGGGCGTGTCAGATCCTGCCAAACAAAGCTCACACATGCGTGGGCCCCTTCTCCATTTTCCTACTCGTATGCTACTTAAACTTCAGCAAAATGTTCTGTCATTTTGACAACATTACACGCACACACATCGGATTCCACTTTAGTTTTCCAGCAAAAGACAAAAACCAAGAAAAAAATGTAGCAAACTATCGCCATGAAGCCAAGTATTAGGCAACGTGAGGGAAGGAAAAGACAGAAAAAACGCGTTGGGAAAATCAAGCGAAAATCAAGCAGAACTAACATAACTGTGAAGTGAAATGTGCTTGAAAAATAATAGATTCTCCCACACAATGACTTTCAGAACTGGGATGGTGTTCCTGTTTGTTTTTGTGTTAGTGTTAAAGGCAAAGTGCAGATCAAATGCAGTTAACTAGCTTGTTGACATCTTCACACACAATTTGCTGGCAAACGCAAACAAACAGAATAAAGCTTATGCAGGTTTTTTGTTTCATGAAAGGTTGGAATTTTTTGAAAAAAAGATACCTTGTTCCTGCAACCTTGTTCAAAACCGAATAATAATATTTTAGTTATTTATAATCATAATAGGATATTATTTTTCGCCTAGTAATTATTAAACCATTTTCGTTCCAATTATTAAAGACTTTATAATTAAATATGAATCAAAGAACTTTTAAAAGATTACTCATCATTGAAAGTACATACATCCTTTAGAAGCAAAAGAGTCACAAATGTATTTTTCATAAGTTAAACAAAATGAAGAAAAACATTATTGTGGGCCGAACGGATTGCCATTTCTGTGCAATTGCAACGTGCGTTTGCAACGAGTGGCAGAATAAACACCGGAGCCCATCTATCTGCCCCATTTTTCGGCCTCCCTTGAAATTGCGTGTCCCTCGATAGGGGCACTCATGAAAAAATAAAAGATTTTTAAATGCAATTTTATAAATGGAGCTGGCCACCACCCGTAGGCATTGTCACAACCAAGTTGTCAAAATATATTACAGGGGTTGCTTAAAATTGTATGCCCAGTCGTAGATGAAATTTTTAAAAGCATTTTGATTTGGTCAGTACCCACCTGAGGGCCAGGCTATAAAATGTCTCATGGAATATTTATGCCGGCACATAAAAAAACATATATATTCTAGCCGGTGCAAGTTTCTGTCTGCATTTCTCCTACTCGGGTTATGGATTCGCAAATGCATAGCATGAAAGATTGTTGGCGATCCCAACGATTTCGGATTCTGAATCACAGATGTTTCAGAACTTGTCCTAGGTCTGACCCAAGCCACTGCCCCGGTTGTGGAAACTGTTGCTGCATGCCACACGGCAGTTGGACGCACAGAATCCGAATCACAGACTTTGCCACCGGACTCACATACTTTTGCGGCCTGCATGCCAAAAAGGTGCATCCTCCTGAACCTTCGACAGGAAAAAGACTTTTTCTGCCAACCTTGCATGCTCTTCCACAACTTGTTAAAAGAATCTGGGATTATCTACACAAAAGATTTTATTTTAATATTTGAATAAATTATTGAAAATTTATAATTATAAATTTTCTTAAAATTGTATTAGTAAAATTATTCTAAAGTTTTTAGTTGCCATTCTGAAGTTTAACACATTTTTTTAGTTTAGGGTAGTATCCGTTTTACAGTGCAGGGTGGGTGTCGTGTACAAGTGACTGGCTCCCATTTTATAGCCACTGCATGCGCGTGTGGGTCATTGTGGTTCAAGCGGCAAATAAAATTTCTTTACAACTCACTTAGACCCTTGCTTAGTATTCAAAGCTCTCTCCATTCGCCCCATTCGACTGGGGATATTTTCAATTGTGATGTGCAGCCATTGCAGTGCATTCCCACAGTCACCTAGAAGGATTTTCCGTTTGATGTCTCTACTTTTTTACAACACCCACACAACCTTGTCGGTGGTAGAATCTCGGTCTTCGATTATGGAACGTTGCATACTTTTGTGCACAGGCATGCACAAAATGTCAAAAATATGCTCGGTCAGTTCGTGTGTGCATTGCTCCGACTTATTTGTCTGTGTGGATGGGATTCCTATGGAAAGTCGTAAAGCTCGCTTTTTTGTTTATTCCTCACAGACGCAACCCAGTCAATGGTACAAACAATCGGAGTAACAACAGGAAAAAGTCGTAGCCAAAAGCCAAAGCCATGCAATAAACGTAATTACAATTGAAACGTCCCTGTGTGAGTCGGAGGAGAGTTGGTTAAGGGAACAAGCAATAACAACAACATGTTTGTCATATGGCATGCATTGGAATTTATCAATAATTCCCATACGGGCAGCTTCGAAGTCCTTGCCTTTACCAATTACACACACTGCTTGATTCCAGACTCTACCACTTCTGGACTCGTTTTTTTCGGCTACCCAAAAACAATACCCAATACGTGTCTTGTTTTCCCACTGAGCCCGTATTTCATTTCATTGCCCATGGTTATGGAATATTCATTATATTCTGATTCCATTCGGATTCCTTTGCTGCTCGACTTAGATCGACTTTTCTTCATTTTTTCCTAAATGGAGAATATTTAAAAGTGAAACAAGTAGCTTGGTATTTTACAAGCTACATATCTAGCTTCTGGCATTTAGTTTTGTTAATTTAAGCCACACAATTTAACAACTGTTTTGTTTACAACTTTAATTTACAAGCGCACCTTAAATCACATCTTTTGAAGGGAACCAGAGAACCCAAGCACCTTAAGGCATTCACACAATTCGATTCGTATAAAATTACACATAAACTAAAACCCCTAAAAAGATAATATTCATATATAATATTAGAATAATATATTTATTTACCTTTATAAAAACTGAAGGTCAAGCTTCTTTAAAAAAAAATATGAATAAAACTCAAGAAATATTTTTAGTGCATAAAGCTTCAGGGCCTGGCAGTTGTTGGTTCTGTTTCTGTAGCATTTGCTGATGGCCTTCGGCAAATGACAAGCAAAGGCGGCCAAAATTTCACCCAGAAACCGCAAACTCCCGCCGGCAGCTTGGCCAAGTTTTTGGGGCAAGGGTGCCGAATCGAGCCTACGTTGGCCAAGTGAAAACAAGCGTGAACAGATCCCGCCCACAACAAAAAACAGGATGCACCGTTGCAGCGCGTCCTGTGCCTTTGGCGGTTGCCTTACTGGCCGCCTGCCGCCCAGCCTGCAACTGCAACTGCCACTCGAATTTTGAATTACGAGCAGGATGGTCTGGCCGCGTGTTTAGATCCACTTTCCGGGGGCCTTTGAAAGTTTTATGCACTCACCCACTGCCCATTGGCAGCCCTTGCCAACTTTGCAACTGTACATAAATTTAATTTCATTTTATGAGGCGGCCCAGCAACATCTTTTGAGAACTTACTGAACACGAACACACCAAAAGGACCCTAAAATACGTTATCAAATGTACAGAGAGAATGTACAGAGGTTCCAATAAAAGTTTTTGAGTGTCCTTGAAACTATAGTTAAAAGCTATAAGTATTATATAAACGATTTTAGAACTATAAGAATTAATATATTTATTTAAAAAAAAATATAAACAATGTTAATGTTTCTGTGTATGCACCTCTAATGCAATTTTATTTGCCGCTCGGCCATTTTTCATTGCAGCTAGCCATCGCCGCTGCCACTTTCGACTTCCACTTGCCACTGCCGCTTCTTTTGGGCGGCGTTTTTCGGGGAAACTGTTTCGGTGAGTTAAGTATGAATTATGTTGTTTTAGCGCAGCGCTCCTGAGTTTGAAAACTTATTGAAATATGCGACAGAGGCTGCAGCGGACCAGCAACAGAAGGCCACCGTGCCACTCCGTTTCGAAACTTGTGTGTGTCCTTTTGAGCTTAATTGAAAGTTCGGGCCCACTCAAACAATATGCCGGCGGTGGAAAAGTTTTACCTGGCTGTAAATTAGTTGCAGCTGTTGGGGTGGGGAATTGTGGGTGCACAGCTAACAGAATTTTCCGTTTAGCCTTGAATTAAATTAAAAAATGCACCTTTCCTTCAGCCACCAAATGTGTTTGTCAATCAAAGTGCTTCGCGGATTTTGTTCACAAACCAAAGTCGTCTAAAAAGTCACGTCACATCACTCACTCGACGGAAAAGTTATCAGAGAATTGTACTATCTCCATCGTGAGATCTGCTTTTCACGCACAACAAATTTCTCTAGTGGAAAACAAGTTCGAGTAGAGGAAGTGGGAAAAAAAATCCAACGAACGCCAGAAATCTTTTGCAGCTGCTCATAAAAATGTCAGATACCCGCCCTTTCTAGAAAACTAGTTGCAGTTGCGATTGTGAGCAATTTGTTATTCGATTTTTATACGGCCATGCAAAAGTTGAACAGTGAAAGAAACTTCACTCCGCCATCCGCCAAAGGAAGAAGATGTGGATGCTGTGAAAGAATCTGAAGTACAGAAGTGACTGGCTTGGCTGGCACCACGGAAATGGCTTGAAATTGTCAGCGGCGCAATGATGCACATTAAGTGTCAAGTGCCAAAAGTTGTTGACAACAACAAGTCGAGACTATTTTTTGGCCAAGAGTGGCAGTCAGTAATCGACAGAATGCCATTGACACATAGTGTCATTCCCCTCAAACTCAAAATCAGACTGAGACTTAGTCATAATATTTATTTATATTCGGAGACAATTTTTATAATTTTCCTTTTCGTAAACAAACTCCACTTTTTTGCGTTTCAAAATCTTTCAAGCAAAACTCAATATTTCAAGGTATGTTATATTAAATATGGCATATAAATCTGAAAACTGGAGCTGCATTCGAATTATCTATTTGGAGGGCAAATAGAGAAAGCCATTTGCATTTTAAACTCATGCATTTTCATCAATAATTGAAAAAAGAAGTGACAGCAAGCGAAAATCACTTTTCGACCGGGCACAAACATGAGCTCTACTCTCCTTCCCAGAGCATTCAATTGGAAAAGTTGTAAAATCAACAAGTCATTGGCAAACAGCGGCCCAGACGACAGCGCAAAAAACATTGCTGTTAAAATATTTTGCTTATTTGCATACAAAAATACACAGAGCACTGGGAGATAAAATGGGCGAAATATTTGAGCACACTCTGAAAAAAGTTCTAGTTGATATTGGTTATGGTTACTGACTTCTTGTGGTAACATTTTTGTCCCAAATATTAGTAATTTAATGTTCCAAAAGTCGATCAATATCCTATTAAATATTTTTAGGTAATAACTTATTCATTAACCTTGAATAATTAAAGTGAAAATCATAACGAACGGACCCGATTTTTTTTTATGTGCAAACAAGTTCCGTGGGTAAGCCAACAGTTGCTGCCGGGACTGGGAAATGGCTTCGGGCGGAATGAGTGCCGGAATACTCGTTGGACGGATGGAAGGACAGACAGTCAGGTGGCTGATGCTGCTCAAGTGCATGAAAGAGTTGCCATGGCTGCCAGCGGTGCAGAAATAACTATATTTAGAACCGGAAACGGAACCCAGAGCATCCCTTATGTGTTCTGGTGCTTGTGCGTGCGGAGCAGTTGCATCTGCAGCTTTTCTGGCAATTGAAGCTACCGGGATTGTATTTTCTATTGAAAAAACGTCGGAGGACAGCTGGAGAGGTTGAAAAGCCTCCGGCCCGACTTCCGGAAAGGATATACGAGAACCAACGAATGCCAGCATTACTATAAATGAGACAAAGCAGATTCAAGCATTTTTCTAGTGCTTTTATATGGTCACTTCGATGTTGGGCACTTTGTTAATTCAATTTCCCCAGCTGACCGAGCTTTGCTTGTTAAACCAATTTTTAAAAATGGCAACAAAGGCCGAAATTGAATTGCATAAGCCAGTAAAAATATTACGTATACGTACATAGGTAGTAACTAGCAAAGCTCCGCCAATTTGATGTTTTTAAATGTGTTATTTTGTGTAGCGAAAGAAGCATACTCTTCCCGTTTATAAGCAATTAATCCTCTAACCTAAAATTGGTTAGAGCATGATTCTAAAAAACTCATGAAACTCTAAAATTAGAGTTAGATAAATCTAACCAATTCATCTAAAAAAGTTTAAAATTTATCCTTAATAATACCTATTTATCATGGATAGAAATACATTTTAGAAATACATCCCGTTTCAATAAACTAAAGACAAGGCACATTTTTATTTGACGTTTTAAAGCCGAGAAGTGGAAGCTGTCCAAAATGGCAACTAACTTTTTGTTTGCATGGCTTTTCGTGTCCTTCCTGGCCGGACAGCAAACATTTTTGCAATTTTTGTGCAAATGATGCCCTCCGGAAGGCACCAGACACATGGCTCACAGCGTCCACACAACAGAACTGCCACGGAATTGGGGAAATCGCGGAAATCAGGAAGGGGCAATGGGAAATGGCAGGCAGACGCTGCGTCGCGTATCCGCAAAATCAATGTTAAGCTTGTAACGTGCAAAAGTTAATGCCTCAGTTGGGCCCAGACTGACCGAAACGGCAAAATGGCAACAAAAACTGACCACAGAGGACCACCCAAAAACGCAGCTAAAAAGCCTAAACAAAAAACTTGCCCAAAAACAACAAATACTCGAATGCATACAACATCATCCGAAGCATTAAAAAAATGACAGCACAAACCGCGAAAATAATCAACGAGACGTAAAAACGCTGGCATATTTAATACGAAATTTAACTGGGCAAGAGAAACAATGAAACGAAAAATTATAAATGCAAAAACGATGTTCAGAACTCCATGAAAACCGAATAAAAATGGCAAAAATCAAACCCACCATGAATAGATATTGCTGCTATATTTGTGAGTGTATATATATATGTATATGGGAATGCAGATTGACATACTGTAGAGTTCAAGGCCCTCAAAGAGAACAGTTATCGTGCACAATTTTCGGGTGACCCAACTTGAATGGCATTGTTTTTGCCGCCATTGTTGCATTTCTGTTGTCATTTTTAAGCCAATTTCCGTTCATTTTGACGCTTCCGCTGTGCTTACCCGCCGACCCACCCATTCATATGTACATGAACTTTAAACGATTTTTGGTTTCGACTTTTGGTTTGCTTTTGTGGCCGCCACTCCGCAAAAGATCCAAAAATGCAGCATATCAAATTCGTTATAACTTGATTTAGCTCCGGGAATTTTCTCCAATAAATTGGAAACGAAAAATAATTGGTAATTTCTTCATATCTAAATATGAGGCAGCTTTATCAAACAAAATGTTAAGCAATTCAAATAAAATTGCAATTTAATTTAGTGTCATCCGGAGAATGTCAAAGATAAACATGTTTCTGGAGCAATAAAACATTCGATTAGATTTGTTACTATTATTGCAGATTGAAATTGAGCATAAAACGACTTCAATCGAGAACAATTTTTTATTAAAATTTATCGGAATATATAAATTATAGGGATACTCAACTTCACACCCAGTCTGAATAATATATCATAGACTTATTGAAAGTTAAAATTCTTAAGCAGAAGGTAATAAAAAAATGTACCTAACTCTAAAAATATCCTTCACCGTCTGCAGTGATGTCTCCGCAAGAGTTTAAAAATAAAACTATAAATGCATTGATAGAAAATCGAATTTGTGTATAAAAAAAAACAAAAGGTATGGATAGAGTGCCGATGTACATATGCATATGAATAGCAAACAAATGTAAGCAAACGCAATTTATTTTACACGATTGCACTTTATAAAATCTAACAATATTCAAACAACCGATGTGTGGGAGGAGCAAAGCCAAGTTATTATTTATGGAAAAGGCATCTGCATCAGTAAGCAGAAAACCACACGAACCCAGTTTTAATTGCTTGTTTTTAATTTTTATGTTTAATTCACTTATAGCGATTCTCACTAACACACAAATATAAAACTTTTCGAAAACAATTATTTAGGATAATGTTGGAAGAGGAAGATGGGATTAAGTTGTTGGGTTTTAGTTTTCGTTTTTTTATGTTTTAGTTGTATTTGAAATAATAATATGAACCCCTAAAATTATAATTAAAAAGGCATCTAGATCACTATATAAGGCCTCACTATCCTATTGCTGAAATAAGTTTTTCTGTTCCGTGTACCCAGGAAAAAAGTATCTCGCAAACAGATCTAAACACAATTGTTTGTACGGCTTCAGGCCAGGATATGCAATGCAGTTTTATAGGCGCCATTTCATGGAGCATTTATTAATATTTCGCATCTCGTTCTCGACCTATGGGCGATAACAGTTGCCGGACAATGTCAACAGAGGCATCGCGAATTGCGAAGAGGCCTCTGCAAAATGACAATATTTGCAAGCCCTTTTGAGCCTAAGGGGGTGGATTTTTGAGGCTGGGATATGACGCACTGTTGGCCTACTGTTTGCTGAATAACCGTTATTATATCGCTTCCTGCCTGAGTTTGTGTTAGTGGGGGCGTGGCATGAGTATCTGTGTGTGAGCAGCTGTTTGCGCGAATGTTTGCACGGTCCCGTTTGGGCTTCGATCCATTTGACATTATGACGACGCATCACCGGGCAGAGCTGGCAAAACTTTGACCAACACATTGGGTTGCATTTCAATTCTCGATATCCGCATGGCAACCCTGCGGCTCGTCACCTTCACTTGATTATAGCCACTTTTATTGGAATCTATTTATGAGGCGTTTTAATTAAAATGGAAAGTGAAGCCGCAAAGCGATGCACTGCAATATTTTATTCCAAATCTTTAAAACAGTCCTTAAAATATTGAAAAAATTTCTTAATATATAAAATATAATTTACATAGTTTTACCAATTATAATTACAATTTATAATTTAGTATTTTTATAAATAAACCGTTCAAATAAAAATGGTTTCTGAATATTTCAAGTGCATCCTACAACGAATTGTTTGCATTGACCTCCTGGCAAAATGTGTGTCATGCGAGCATTAAAGAAATTTCATTATTGTGCCAGATGGGCGGTGATCCAAAAACTTCAGCTTGGTCCGATGTTTGCATTTCCCACACGCATACGAGCGATTCATTATTTCACTTTTGGCGGAAAGTTTTGTTTGTTGAAAGCAAAATGCAGCATCTGCCGGTTACACTGTTAAAACAACAATAATATAAAGCCAAAGAAACTTAATAACATTTAATGAGTTTCAGTTGAAACCACACTTTTTGCAAAAAATCTCACACTAATGAGAACTTAAAGAGTCAACAGAGAACGATAAACAATCTGGCTAAAAGGGCTAGGTGGAAAAAAGTTTATTAATTTCCACAGGCATCCAAAATGGTAGCCTACTTATGTGGGCACGAATTTCATCGAAGGGGATGATATGAACAACCCTTAGAACGCACCCACTTTGCACACATGTTGAACAAATATTATTGTCTTGTATTTCATTTTTATGTTGACTTTTGTCTCACTTCTTCTGAGCTCCACACCCCAAAAAAAAATGTTTATTTGGCGTGTTGCAGCAACACAAATAATTGTCGAACAGCATGTTGCATGTGTGTGCGCTCGTGTTCTTGTAGTTGTTATTTACGATTGTCGTAAGAAACTTAGATAAATATTAAGTATACGCAACTATGTCACGTCACGGGACTAATGAAAAATAGCGGCAGACTGTGGGATGAACAACCCAGAATTTATGCTGATGGAAAACTTTAAACGATAAACCATCGATAAAATCCAAAAGCTGGGTGGTATCTCTGGGATATTCAAATGGCAACAGCTGGACGAACAAGGCAGACTCTATGCATATATTGTGATACTCGTATATGGGAGCCTATCTATGTATGTCTCTATGCCATCCACTGAAAGTTAGCTACAAACCAAAAAAAAGCAAAAAAAAACAGCGGAAAAAGGGAACCGGTTTTCACGAAAACTCGCTGGTGCTCCTGCAGCTTCTGCCTGTCAGTGTCCATGTGCGCGTAAAGTCCATTAACATGAAAGGCAACAAACAAGCAGCCAGGCCAGCGCACAATTTTGGACACTTCATAAACAAGGATGCATCGTTCTTTCAAATAGCCAAAAAAGTCTTAAAAATAAACCGAAACTTTCAAAAAAATGTTCAGAAACCCGTAAATGCGAATAAGATTCCAGAAAACTTTAACTTAAAGTCAGATATCCTCAGACTATGACCTTTTCTTATATTCAACAAATTAACTTCATATGTACATATCAAATAACACTTGATATATAGAAATCAGGTTTAATTAGAAATTTGGCGAATGTAAAATATGTATGGAAATTGGTACCAAACGAATAACTAAATTTTAATTAAAGCATACCAAAGAGCAATGTAATATTAGAAAATATCTCGACTATATTTGATTAATAAATACAATTCCAACTTGAAATGCTTGACTAGAAACAACCATTCTAGCCCCAAAACCACTTGATTATACGGAGCATGTAATTTTACGATTCAAACTCATCATTGAATTTCCTCCATTGCAGGTGTCCAGGATTGAAGGAAACTAAAGGTTGGAGAATTATAAGGTAAGAGCTAAGCTAATTGAATGGAGGAGAGCAAATAGCAGGAATCCGGACAATTATTGTTGGCAGAATTGGTTAGGTAACGCCTTTAAGCCAATCAACTAAATCAACAATACGCATACGCCATGTGTGCCAAACACACACATACTCACCCATGACCCACTGAAGGCTGACCCAACACGAAAATTCAAGGCTTAAAATCTAACCAAATAAAGGGATTGTGATTGGGGATTGTGAGGGCAGTAGACTGACAATTATTATGGGAAATGTTTTTCGGGGGTCAGGACTGAGCATTTCATTGAATACAATGGCATTAACAACAATAACAACGTTGCGCACACAATCTAGCAAATATTTAGTGAAGGGAAATAATTTCTAATAGGTTTTCCTTCCAATTGAAATCGGATATTATGTCTGGATGCGAGTTCGTGTGTGTGGCTGATTCTATTTACGCAATGTTTGGTAGAATAACACAGGGTACCATGCAAATATTTGCTTTTCCTTTGGTTGCCACAGAACTTTTTAATTAAATGTATGCGGCAGGGCTGAAAACCCAAACGAAGCTCCACAGAAGATTTCAGATTCTAAGTGATTGCTTAATAATAAAGGGTTTATTGTTTATCCATTAAATTTGCCACAGCTCTTTAAGTCTGCCCGGAGGTTGGTCCAACTTTCTCGGACGCAGAGACTCAATCATTAGTTATGCAAAGCACATAAAAACCAGTACGCCGGGTCAGGGCTCGAACTAATTTCTAATGGTGCAAGGCAAACGGGAGCAGAAATTAAACAAACAGTCCATGGCATGGAAATTTATTCGAGTTTGCTTGGCCAACTGAGAAATTAAGCTGTTGCTACCAAACGAAGATCCTAAAAACAAAAAAAAATGATTGTGAGTAAATATACCAAGCTGCATAAACTTTCTTCAGATACATGAAACTATACTATGTACACAGACACTGTGTGTGCTCGTGTGTTTATTTCACACCTGAAGTGTGATGAAAATATGACAACAGAAGCACATCCCAGCTTCAGACAGGTGCCGAGTGAACATTCTCCACTGCTCACTGTGCATCTTGAACGTGTGACTGTGGGGCATTCGTGCTTGAAGAGTTTCCCCAGCTCTCTGCAAACAAACATAACTTGAAGCTCTTCTTTCACACACTGCCTCCTAGTTTTTTCAGCTCAAATGTGACTACACCCACCAAAAAAATTTACTTTGACGCAGTTCTTTAAACATTTTTGAAGCTAAATGGTTATAAAAGGATAGAAAACGAAGAACATTTTCATTAATGGCTTCTATATTAAAATTAACGTAAAACTAAATATTGTACATTTGTAAATTATCACTTGTGCCACTCGTATCACTCGATTTACGTATTATCACAAAAGTAAAACATTTTTCTTTTGGTTACTTAGTTTTTCAAAGTGTAATACTGATTCATGCCCTCCATCATCATCGGTTTTGCATCAATATTGTTTTTGTTCATCATAGAAACTTTGATTGAAAATGCAAATCGCAATAGTTGACATATATCAAAAATCAGTTCTTGGCAGTACTCGCTCCCTGTGACCCTATCCATCTATAAATGAATACCTATAATCCGTATCCCTGTCAAGACACTCGAGTAAACTTTGCCCCTTCATCAGGATAATCAACTTAATCGACAGCATTCCACGGCAGATATCCACAAATCTGACAAGTCACAAACTTCTAACCCTGTATTAATAATATTTTACCCCCAAAAAAAAGGTACGATGGCTATTCATAAGCATTTGCCTGATCATCCAATGGAACTATGCACGTGCGATAAAGCAAAAATGTTCATTTAATGTTGTATGAAAGCAAATATTTTTATGGCCTTGACAAATCAGTTTTCCTGGTATTTTTTATAATAAGCAGCATGACAAAACGCCAAAATGCTCAACGCCCACACTCAAGCACACACACAAAAGTCAATTGATTGGGGAGCCAAAATTCCTTTGGGCAGAGGGCAAAAATAGAAGCCGTGCAAAATTCATTCATACTTGGCCTGGATTGATTTTGGGTGCGACACACAAAAAACACAGCAACGCAAGTCAGCACTATACCTATATACATATATATGAATGTCCCTGGATATATTTCAAACACACTCACTGGGCGGCAAAGAAAAGGACAAGAGTGAATTTCGTTTGCCTTTGTGAGTTGCTTTTCCTGTTGCGACAACGACACGGCATTTATAAAAATCATACGCCCTGTTGTACCAGCAGCACACGGCAAAAGTGGTGGTACGACAAAAGCAAACGGCAATATATTCGTATCGCTTGTCAGCCAGCATGTTCGCGAACGATTTTCGCATACGTAATGTCGATTTTGACAAAAACTGTCACCTCCTTGGCAAGTTGGCAAGCTGGGGGGGAAAGTTGCTCATAAAAACGTTCGACTCCCTGATTGCGTTAAATCAAACTGAATACCCATCATTAACAGGCTTAATCCACTCGCCAGCGATGCGATCAAGTGTAAAAGATCCGCCTAGTTAAGCAAATCACTTGGGCATGTCTGGACGGATGCAACTTTCCAACTTGCCTGATGATTTCTTAATTGGTGGTCTTAATTGAAAATCACAGGTTGAGTCGATTGAAAGGCTATAAATTAGATGTAGTACTTGCCGAAAATTGGCTCCCAAAAAGTTTTATCAGTATCAATATTTCAAAGTGAAATATTTGAAAGACTGCATAACCGTATTTGAATAATTATGTTGTTTAATGAAAATCAATTTGTGTCATTTCTACCTCAACTATCTTGTTCGGCCGTCAAACAAAGACGACTTAACCACAGACGTAATGGATACAAAAGGAAGGAAACATGCTGTTGGCGTGAAAAACTACCATTCAATTTGACGGAACCTCCCCGAAAATGAAGACCTGCTCAAAGTTACAGGAAGTTGTCATTCGGCAACACTTCCTCACACACAAGCTTCCTCATATGAGACACACGTCAAAAGCGACGGGAAAACTTCAGGATGACAATTGAGTGGGCGTGTGAGAGGGGCGTGTTCTTGGATAAGTCCTTCAATTGTTGTTTGCAAAAAACTTCGCCCAATTTAAAGCGAAAAAAAACGAGCCGTGTCAGACAGAAGAAATAAAAAGTGGAAGCCGAAAAAGATCAGGTATTAGTCACGCCCTGACAGATTCCGGCCAAGTCCGCTGTGAAGGCCCGAATCGCTCCCTCGTCACTTGGCAACGCTTTCGAGACTGAGACTGTCAATCAGCTCCGATTCGTTTTTGTTTTATCTTCTTCGAGCGTCTTACGAAAAAAAAGCCAAAACAAGTAAAACAAACCAACTAATTGGTTGAAATGCAGAGCAGGGAAGCAAAGCAAATTTTGGGCCTGCCAAAAAGTTTCACGCTTATTACACCAAAAGCAAAACAAAGCCAAGCCAAGCGGTACATACAAAAAAAAATGGTGTTGAGAAATTCATGATTCATTAGCAAAGTCAGACCAACGCAAGTGGATAACTTTTCATGCTCGCCTATTGCACCAACAACTGGCAGCTGCCTTGGCTAATTTAAATTCTTTTGGCGCCACCAATGATGCCACCACCGACACCACACCACCGCACCTCCTCCTCAGCCGGTGGCGGTCTTCTATTGGAAGAAGTCGGGCATGACAGCTCCTTAAGCGCCTGAGTGATTGACATCAAAAAGGTCTATAGCAGGAGCCGTAGATAATGTAATGAATATACATACACAAAACAAAAACCGGTTAAGATTAAGATTATGAATCATATAAACTTTACTATATAAGTTTCCTTAACTAGTCGCTTAACTGCTTAACTCTATAGCTACTTAATATTAGTAAAAATCTTTAATATCTACAGATATTTCTTTCTCTGTATAAATTCATATGTAGGGCTGTTTTAGGGGATATAATTAAAATTGCACATCATTAGGAATTCCCAAATTTGACTAGACTTGTACACAAAGTTTAAACTGGCAATGCTAGAAAATTGAATAATGACATGGCAGTTCCTCAACCTTAGTTTCCTGTTTGAGTTTTCTGCACTTGAAAATCCCTCAAAGGGAAACTTAGCAAGCCCACTAATGATACACAAAAATAAAGCCCATCGGAAGGACGGAAATACCTTCAGTTGTTAGGGACAACCCAGGACACTTGTTCAAAGGTAATTTAACGAAAACGGCATCAAAACGCAAACAATTCCTTCGGACTCAGGTTTCTCGGGGCAACTAAAAAAATTGTTTTTTTTTTGTTTATTTTATTTAGGATCCCTGTTTGGCAATCAAATCTTGTCTGAAATGAAAGCGGATAGGACTAAAATAGGCCAAGCAACCCATTTGACAAGCGTCTTAAGCAACTGCCGCCTGCCAGCCCGCCTGCCTGCTGTGTTAGCCTGGCTAACAAATCTCACTAAATGCCAAGACAAAAGTAAATGAAATTGCACTAAATCTGAGGGGGAATTTGTCTTGAAAAAATTTCAACCTTTTGGCCCCCGGCGGATCGCAGCTTAAGTTGAAAGGCCCAAGTTTTTGGCGGCGGGAGGTGGGATGTAGAATTGGAGTTAGAATCCAGAGGATATCATCAAAAAGGTACGAACAGGCCTAGGCCAAAGTGATAAACCGTTTCCACTGACATTGCATATAAATCTGCGACAAAGTTGCGTCTTCCACGGCAGCAGCAGCGGCACGGACAGCTCCAAATCGTGCCGGATTTGTCACGCCAAATCGTTGGAAATGCTTTTGGCCTTGTTTATGCCCAACTCCCCCCCGCCTCCCCTTTCTATTTTAGCTACCGAAAATTCTAACAACAACAATACGAAGCTTTAGCAGCAGCAGAAAAAGCAGTCGTAAATCTTTGAGTAGCTTATCTCCAACAAAACTGTGCGCTTTTTTAATTCGCTGGGAAAATGTATGCAAAACAAGGGCCAGGGAAATCAAGAAAAAAAATTGCTGCCAAAATGCACAGAGAAAATGTTAAATGTTTATTTAAAATGAGGCACATGTTC